ATTTCAAAATTTTCATTTTTATGTTTAGATAATCCTGAAATTCTAGAACATATTTAATAAATTAATAAATGCTTGGATTTTTTTCTTTTTTATTAAAATCTTTGGGGTTCTGTTGGTATAGAATTACAGTTTGAGAAATGTAGTGTGAATTATTTTTATGAGAGTTATGCATTAATTTTTTCTCTAGTTGTTCTTAATGGATATTGCCTTATGTTTGAAATAATGTTAGCCTAAGCCAATACTGTGCTTTTCAAGTCAACTAGCTGGAACAAAAGCACCTTGCAAATGCTACTTAACTGGGGGCAGGTAACAAAGCTGGTGATCCCTGTGTTGTGTTGCATTGTTTTCTGAATAAAGCTTAAAATGCGTTTCCCAGTTTTCCCCATTTCAGGTGGTCTTTTCCATACTTCAGTGTCCTTGTTTCTATAAATTATGAAGGATTTTTTGCACATCAAATCATTATTGTCACTGTTGTCATGAGTACTGTGACAGAATAAAAGAAGTTATGTTTAAAGAATACAGACAGAAAAAATCATCTACCCTACACTTCTGTAGAAAACATGTGGATTTAGATTTTATTTAATCCTTTCTAGATTTATAGCTATATGAATAAGTATCTCTGAGGAATGTGATGCTCAAGCTTCTATGGCAAGGCCCCTTTGAGTACTGTATCTTTTGAGTTGTCTGGAATCCACCTGAAGTACAGACCAGTCAGCAGCACTTACACATAAGTCACTTTATACTGTAGTGAAATCTGCAGTTGCATTTACTCGTAACCTGAGATTAAAGCCTGTTTTATTTGAGCTCACAGCAGTTGGACTGCAGCTAAATTCTTGGATGATCTAAAATGCAGATGGAGATAATACAGGTAGGAGTGAAAGACCACACAGGTTTTGGTCTCTGACTTCGCTCCATATGTGGTTGAACCAGTCAAATGGGCCTTCTGCCAAAACAGAGGAACTCTTGCTTCACTTTCCCCTTCAATATTCCTAACTCCACAGTTCATCCCACCTCTAAGTCAGGCTCTGCTGCTCAGTGCCAAGAGGTCTCTCTACTCTGCCATTTCTCTGTTAAGAAGATTCACCTAAAACCTTAGTATTAAAAGATGAATAGTGTTAGCACCTTTTCATAGTACAATCATACCACATGGCTAATCACTGAAAGATAGTCATGTGGTTTGAAGCTGATTTTATAGTAAAAAATTATAAAGCATACCTGCCTTTTCTACAGCAGTGGCAATTCAATAAGTTAAATAACTAAAGCACTGCCTATGTTTAGACAATACTGTGTACACTCTGAATTTTGCTCACCCGTAAGTGTGCTTGATACATTTTTAATAAGCTTTCCTACGGAAAATAATTTGTTGAGTTCTTCTGTAGATTGGGTTTTATTTTGTTGTTCCACTAAGATAAATTATAGCACATTCCCACACACTTCTAAATTAATTTTGAATGTGTGTTCTGAATATTCAAGTAAAAATTTGACATAATAAACAACCTTTCAGCCATCAGAGAAATAAAAAACAGACGCGCAGAATATTAAGTTACACTGGATAGTGAACTCTGCCTGTCATCAACAAGCTGAATTGCAGAAAGTGAAAAAAGGTACAAGAAGAGACATTGAAAAGAATTTTAAATCTTCTAGAGATGTTCACAGCTGCTGTGAAGTCTGCTAGACTTTACAATACCTTTTGATTTCATGTGAAAGATGCTTAGCCACTAATGATCAGCATTCATACAGATATTAAGGAAGGCATCCTTTGCTTCTTTGATAATCCCTTTCCATCATCAAGTTAAATAACTCTTAGTTAGGTTTCCATTCCAGAAAAACAAGTGAGAACTAACACCTTTTTACATAGGAAGGTGGATACAGAACAGCTGTATAATTGTAAAGGTCTGCAGTCAGAGTTGTGACAGTCATGTCCCAAAACTTGAGTGCATATTTTCAGTGTAAATTCAGTTGTCCCTCAGTGAATTAATAAGTAGCATTGTATTCATCTGTTTGCTGAATTTGCTTTGACATCAAATAGCATGCCTGTCTTTAAAAAATACCTGGTTAAAAAAGTATTTAAAATAAGGGTTTAAAGGCATGAAATCAGGCATCAAATTTGTTGATTCTTAACTAAATGGCACAAATTGGAAAATAAACATTAATTTCAGGCTGAAGGGCTCTGCCTAAACTTAATTAAACTGTAATAGTAACGAAAGTGCTACCAATAAAGCAGAAACTGGTCATGGAATATGGCATTAGTATTTTCTGAGTTTAAAATTTTTACTCCACAACTTCTGTGAACTTGATTTGATCCTCTAAAACCTGTTTTACATAGTATCTCAGCTGAGTTCAGGGTTTTTTGAGGTTAGTTTTGTGGTACATAAAACTTGTTTTCAACTTAAGGTGAAAGACAGGTTTCTATTATGAGTCATGCTGTCATTATGTAGTGTTAAGGTCTAAAAAAAGCTCTCTAAAAGTTGTACACAAAAGGACATAGAAGTCAGCTTTACTGGAAGTCTCCTTTCTATTACAGAACTGTCACCACCTCGTTTTAGAAATCATCCAGTCAAAGGAGCTTATGTGAGCCTGTCATTCCTAACAGCCTCCTGTAGGCATTGGTAATAATCCCATTTCTCTTGGTTGTGTTTGAGTAAAGGCCAAAGTAACAACACTATGTCAGAACCCTAAGGCCTTTAAAAAGGGCTGTATTTTTCTAAAAGCTTTACATTTATTTTAGAAAAGATTTGCATTTGCTTTCATTAGGAATATAAATTACAGAAAATCTTTGTGAAAAACAGTTCCCTCTTTTAACTTAGGTCTTGTTATTCTTTTTAGCCTTCACAGTTGATTGCGTGCTACACAAGCCATTAAAATGTGTAAGCCAGATACAAATCTGAAAGAAGTGTGTTCCATCACTTGCACTGCGATAGATGAATCAATGTGAAAAAATAAAAACACATTTGTAAACTATTAAAATAAAAGCTGAAAATCGGGACTTTTATCTGGTTTTCCACCCTTTTTGTTGCAGTTTATTTTTGAAAGGTTGAATGGGGATCTATTCCAAGATAAGTTTGGTTGCCAGCTTTTTTTAGTCAAAACTTGTTATAAGCAGCTATCAGCCAGACCTCGTTAAACAAGCTACAAAATGCCATCCTCTCCAAGGCAGAAACGAAAAAAATAAAAAAAGAATTGAAAAGCAGTGTTGGCAATAAGGTTTGCAGAGGCATCTAGTGAATTAGAATTCACTGTCTCTTGTTTATTTTCCTACTTCCTCTAAGTGTAAACATGAGATTCTTTCACATTCTAGTCCAGTGTGATAAACTCAGGGTGTCCTTGCCCTTTGATTTCCCTGTTTCTCACCTTGTGACATTACACAACTAGTGCATACAGCAAAATTATTCCGATACAAATATACCAGCCCTTCAAAAAAGATTTTTTTTTTAAAAAACATACAACATATTCAAGAAATACAAGAACAGATAAAGGAGAGTGATTGCAGTAGCTAATGAAAGCACTTATTAATCCTTTAGAATTTGTATATATTTTATTTAAACAGATACTTCTTTTCTAAGGTTAAAAAAGAATATGTAACAGCCCAATTTTTATTTTTCATGTGGTAAAGCTGGAAAAAGTCAATTAACTTCCAGCTTCAGAGAAATCTTAACATTAGTAGAAATGTTAACGTTCATAGAAGGCAAGTAATCAAAAATGGTTCTTTTTCTTTTTTACTTTTCAACTTTAACTGAACTACTGAAGATTTATCCCTGTGCCAGACATCCAAAAGTAGAATTTAAAACTAATCAAACATTTTATCACCATAATGAATTGTACAAATACAAGTGAGGAACCGATTAGATAGCAGTTTTAAAGATTTAGATGTATAAGCACAAGCTAGCAGCAACATATCATTGTAACAAGCATCATAGAAAGAGATGGCAATGGAAAAATCTTCACCATGTGAAGTAGATTGTTTTGTTCTCAGGTGGAGTTCTGTACCTCATGAAAGAGATAAATTATTTGGAAAGAGGCTATTGAGCAACATAAAGATTGTAGTTTCTACAGTCTGATTTAAAAAATTTCCTTCCTGTAAGGAAAGTTTTGAAAGATTTCAAAGGTATCAAAGGCTACTGAAAAGAGGAAGAAAAAAAGCCTCTGAATTTGTGCTGCTTAGGAAAAGAATTAAGTGATTTCCCTTGCATCATAGAATGGAAGATTTAAATTGGACTGAAGCTATACTGTGTTCTCAAGAAAATCAAATAGTCTTTCCCTATAAAACAAAACACCAAAAGTATTTGCAAAAACCAAAGAACCATTTGCAAGGTACTTTTAAACATGCTTCATCCCACATATTTTGCAGGGAAGCAATACTTTCCCATTATTTTCAATTAAAAACTGATTGCAGTTGAATGATACATGAAGCTATGACTATTTCTTCACTAGTCTCATTTTCCTTGGTATTGATAGTACACTTTTGAAAGATTTGAAGAATTCGGTTTCTGATTTGATAGCTTAGCATATTCTGTTTACTTTACCCCTTGCTTTAGCAAATAGTGGTAAAACCAACAAACCTAAACTGAGTTTTAACCACCTTCGAGGTATGATTTCATTATCCATTACATATGGATTGGGGGAAAAAGTGTTCACTAGCAACTAGAAGAAAACACGAAGATGTGGATTTAGAATATATAATTCAGAAAACCAAAGAGTTATGTTATTTGTTTTAGGGCTGTTTTTTATCTTGGTTTTCCAAATCTAAGCAAGGTAAATCAATGGTTCTAATATTTGAATTGTACAGTACGTTGCTGTTTTGTCTTAAGCTCTGAGAAAGCACAAAACAGTACATAATAAAGTACATTATTTTTATTTACTTCTGTTAAATACATATTTACACTTAAGAAAATTTAAAACAATACATGAAAAAAGGAAATGGTAATTTTTTTTTTAGAAATACATTAGTATGTCACAATGTTTCAAGGTAAATGTTTATTTCAGAATTGTAGGCAGCATACAAGCAGTGTTTAATTTTTATAGGACTATGTAAAATTACTCTTTCTAGATCTGTTTTTTACACAGTAGCTCTTTTACTAGTTGAAGAGTGAACAGAGAAAAAGACAGAATAAAACAGAAATTACTACAAGTGTCGTGTGCACTTAAGACATCCTGAAGAATAGGTAACTGTAACATGACCATCATGGAAAAATCTGAATACCTGGCCCATTTGCTGCCCATTTGAAGAAGCCACATTGTTTTTCCTTCCCAAGAGGGCACACAAAAAAGTTCTTTCCATTATTGGGACCAATCTTCAACACAGTCTTCATAACACATCGCTTGCCATGGTTACAAAATGGAAAATCCAAGTCGGCCCACTGCCAAAGAAACAGGTTTCAGGCACATGTGATGGCTATTAATTCCTTATTTTAAAATTGACTATAGAAAAAGATCTTCAGGGGATGCCATAGAACGAATTCTTCCTAGTACTTGGGCTAGTTTTATCTCTTTTATGAACACTTTTTAGATTTTTCTTTAATGGCAACTGCATGCACTTTGACTGGTGTAACTTGAATGATGTTAACACATAGTTCTTTTAAAAATTTAAGCATTATGGTAATTTCTGTCTTGGGTTCATCTATTAACTACCTGATAGTCATGACTGTCAGGTCACTTTTTAGGTCAAACTTTTCAGACAAGGAGCAGAGGCCACCGATTGTGGCTAGGAAGGTCATGTTAGGTATTGGTGCAGCAGTGGGAGGGTCTGCCCAGGCAGACTACAGAACCACCATCCTGAGGTTATCAGGATTTTGGCTAGCAAGAAACATGGCTGACAATTAGATCTAGTTTGCTATAGTCCTTCTTTCAGGAATAAGCTGATCTGAACAACTTGTACAGGTCCCCTCAAACCAAATTTCTCTCATGCATCTGTTTTACATCACTCAGAAGTAGATTAAGAGCATTTGCAAAACCAGGTGCCTTCTCAACAGTAAGAGAAGTAACTAAAATTGTTAAGTTCATGGCAATTATTATGGTCTTAGTTTCAATTCAGTGTGCAAGAGTATTTATGTCAAACTTTAAATGGAATATATCTGTCCATGACTGACAGGTCACTGGGCCAAGGAGGCTGCAGGAATAAGCACTGATTATAAAAACAGGTCCTGAAGTCTTATACATACTTGAAAGAAGTCGCACCGAGTTTCCCTGGGGAGAGGGCAGCAATAAAACTGCCTTCCCTTGTTTTCTCCATCCTTTCTCACAACTCTGAGGCTGCAGAGACGGCTGTGTTTACTGCAGCGAGGATGCCCCATGCTCCACATACGAGTGTCATCTGTCACTTTAGTTTGAGGTGCGCTGTAATGACAGGTTACAAAATTATTTCTGTGTAATTTCAAAGGGATTACCACCCAAAGAACTCTCTTCTACCATTAAAATAGTTCACCCAGTGTACTTTTGCAAAATGACAAAGAACTTGCTTCTCTAATGCACCCTATGGCACTTTTAAAGCTGAACGATTGCAAGTAGTGAATAGACACAACTGTGTGCTTTTCTTGAGGTATTATACATCAAGGAAGTTTTCCCCATCATGTCTTAAATTATTTTGAAGTACTCAAAATCATGTGTGAAACAAAACATTACCACTGATGTTATATTGCCCACCTCAAATTCTGACATATTCTAAAAGAGTATTCTCCTCTCAGTGGGAAAAAGACCAATGCCACTAATTACTCCAGTCTGAAGGCACAGAAAAGACTGCTTCACAGAAAAAGACTCCCACCCTTTTTACTATAAAGTTACAGTAATGCTCCAAATCATATTGAGACAAGATGTAATCCAGATGATGGGATGGAACAGAGTTCTCTGAATGGGACAGTTTCTTTCTTCCTCATGACTGAGGTAATTTCTGACTATCTGTAATACAAGGTTTCATTTTAAAATAGTGACATGAAAAAGATTAATGCTCTGAAATATATCTTTTTAATATATTTATAGAGCAGAAAAGCAGTAATGGAACTTTAGTGAAAAAAGAAAATATTAATTAATTCTGGTCAAGTTATCAGCTTAGGAATTTTACATTGTCTTCTATGTCTGGAAGACTGCAGTCCTACAGACACCACCACCTCATTAAAACACAAGAAGATAAAAATAAACAACAGATTTTTTGTTGGTTTTGGTTGTTTAAAAAATATTATAAAAAAGCATTTCAGTTGATAATTTGCTACAACAACCTGTTGTCATGATTGATACAATCTCATTTCTTGTTTGCAGTCCTCTGTATTCTCAATTATCCTGCCTACAGCCTCAGTTCCTCAGTCCGTACTGAGAGCACGAGGAGAAATTGTATTAATTCAGTCTAGGCTGGCTAGTCAGTGAGATTGTTTCAAAACTGGTGCTTCAGCAATGCAAGAAGTAATTTCTGTATTTCAGAACAGACACATGACCAAGAATATTGTAGCATATCATCAATATTTCACATTCAGCCTGCATAATTTACCACTGTAAGTGACATCTACCTTGCACTCCCATTACTGTTATGACTATCTGCCCAACTTTTCTGTGACAACCCTCATAGATTCTCACATTTCTCTTAACTAGGCAATGGATGTGTCTGAACAGGGCCCTGTAAATAAAAGCATGGGTAGAACATTGAAGGAGTTATATATAGAATGGGGAGGGAAGTTAAGAGTAAAAGCAACAATGGGAAGCTCATCAAGGTAATTGACCTTCCTCTCATGGAAGAATGCGGAAACCTGGTAGTTGTCAAATAACTTTAATTAGAATATATTCATCCAGATAGCTTCCTTTTGTATTCTTTCACATTAATTTCAAGATCTCTCTAAGCAGATAGCAACTACAGTGCTAAGATTAGACAACTCCTTAGGTAGAAACGTGCTTGACCTATTAAAACTAGACTGGCTTATTCAATGGGAATAGCTGAACTATGAACAGCTGTTTAGCTTACAGCAGTACTGGCTAGATGCCAAAATCAGGACTTTTCTAATGACAGCCTAGGTAATTCAGTGCTTTTGAAATCAGAATTAAATTATAGTTAGTCTGGAATAAGTTACCTCTGGCAGAAATCCAGAGACAACTGTCAGAGCCCAACAGCACAATATTCAATTAACCTTTAAGGATAAAGTTGGTTTATGGGATTATAAAGACTCACTTTCATTTTAGTTTACATACCTGATTGGTATAGTATAGGGGTGAACCAAAGGTACATGATCAGTTTTCTGTTTCTTCTGTATGTGTTTGAAAGAGATAGGTTGCTGACAGGAGGACAAAGCCAGAGCAGTTACATGTGTTGAGCAGTCCTTGTCTGTGCTTCCCCCTGACTGGCAGGCATTGCTTTCGATCTGTTTACAACTGCATTTAGGAACAACACACTGAGAGTGTCCATCAGATACCTGGGTATCACTTCTCAAAACAGTTTTGTTACCAAGATCTGTTAAGACAAGAGTGGTAGTTCCAAAAGCAGTTCTCCTATTGATCTTTATTTCTGTGCTCGGTTTTCTGAAATCATTACAAGGGTACTTCATTAAGTTCGTGTTAAAGGCTGCAGAATCTTCAAAATTCTCCATCTTTGGAACTAAGGAAAAAAGATTATTAGTCATAATCTATCTGCATAGAATACTACATTATATTTCTGATCTGTATTTGTAAGTTGTCATGTGGAGAATGAAAGAGTAAATTTACAGTACCATCTCAAAACCTGTCAAAATTAGACAGAGTACAAAATTTCTTACAATAAAAAAAATTCATGCACTCATAGTCATGTAAAACATGCTTCAAGATAACATTACTATTGCTTGAATAGGATCAGTCAGTAGTACTATGTAAATGAAAACTATTGGACCATTAACCATAAAAAATTTAATTTGGCCCAAACACAAGGATTAAAGTGTTTAAATTTTTCAAAATAACCTTTTATAACCCCAGCAATGGGAGATCACAGAGTATAGTATCTCCAAGCAGTGATGCATTATCCATTTTTAAAGTATTACTTTACTATTGATGCAAAAAAAAATTCAGATTTTGAGGTTTCTAGTGTTTTCAGAGTTCCCATCCTTTCCAAACTTTGTGTTCATCCAAATTTACTGTAAGAGGTTTTTCAGAAGAAAGCAGTTCAGACATTTGCTTTGTGATAAAAACAACAGTTTCTTCACAGAATCAGAGGCCCTCCTAGTGGGCAATAATCGTTTTAAAAGAATGTGAATAATTTATTAATGCAAATTTAATACATAAGGTAGTCCTTTCCTGAGAAAAGTGTGAAAAGAACTTAATGGTATCCTATGTGCAATCTTTTCAGGTAGCTGTGAAACCATACTGTTCAAGGACAAAGTCCTTCCTTTTCTACTATATCCAGTGTATTCCATACAAAGAAGAGGGAATTAAGCAGAACATGGGTAAATGAGACATACACAAGGGCACACTCTCTCCAAAGGCATTCTCACTCAGAAACAAAATAGGAATCTCTACATCTGACTTGGAACATTACTTGTTTCCAGACTCCTTTCATTTTGCCACTACTCCACAGTGAAACATACTGGTTTCATTCAGACTTTTAAAGAAAGAATAGGAGTAGCTCAGCCTTGTACTTACCAAAGGAGCATGGAAATTGCAATGTAATGGTAAATAATTATCTGTCTACAGACGGAATTATTTCAGCTGTAGGGCCAGCAGTTAATTTTACAGACCAAGTATTCTGTCCTCAAAAATGCAGACATTTCTGCTGACAGTAGTTAATTTTAGAAACACCATAATGAACAAGCATTGAACCAAGTGAGAAGGGAAAGACTCTTAAGGATTACAACAGAGACATAAGTAAACCTGTATTTGAAAAAAAAAAAAAATCTCAAATACCACTCCTATGCAAAAATAAAGTCTTAAATTAAAAAAAAAATTCCTAACAGTATTCCACCAAGTCTAAGACATCTTCAAATTCCAGACCTGATTTCATTCATTGCATATAACGAAATAACTAAAACTCAGAAGTACAGTAGAAGGAGCTTGTTTCAAAGCTCAAATTAAAGCATTTGTGCACATGGCATAATATATTATAAAGGCCAGCGGACAGTATTAATTCCAGGATAAATGTTAGTTAGTAAATCATTCTGTGAACAGATTAAAATTTTCAGGTTTCTGGTGCTGATTTGGCAGAAGACGTATGCAAGATTAGCCTGTGTTGGCAACAACTGTCATGCAAGGAGTGAAGACATACTTTTATTGATTCCTGACCTGAGAAAATGAACTATGGCTAGTGCAAGATAAGAGTTTTCCACACATCACTCCAGTCATAAAATGATTAAGCAATGAAGCAATTTTCATGTAGATAGCAGCATTAAAAGCTCCAGCAAGAGACAAACAACAAATTGAGGTAAGAAGTTCAGAATCATTTTTACTCTGAATTTGGAGGGGAAAAAAAGTAGCCCCAGACAAACCTGGCATCCTTTTAGAAAAGGATGCTAAAATAAACCACTTTTGTTCACATGAAAGAACAACAGTTAATTTTCTGACCCTTGATGATTTCTAATTCAGACTTAACATTGCAAACTTTAAATGATTTTAAGGAGAGTTGAAAGAATGGAGATTTTTCTCACTCCTTGCCCCAGTAAAAACAAAGAGTTACTGAAGACACTTATTTATAGAATCCCACCTGCATATCAGGTTGGAAGATGATATTTTTAGGGTTTAAGACAAGTCAGTTTCTATATTGTCTGTGTAAGATTTCCTCAAAATCTGACTTCAAGTTAGCTAGTTTTATAGATGTGATTCACAATGAGACACTTCTACATAAAAACTACATGAAAGTCATAGACCTCCCCTCCTTCCCAATACAGATGCCAGACAACCCTTCAGTACCTTCAGGTCTTGAAGTCAAACAGGCATCACAAATTTCAGCAGAAGGTTTGTTTATTAGGGTGCATTGCATACATGTCCACTCCTCTTCAGATTTCCGAGCTATATGTTCATTAGAACATGACCCTCTGCCATATGCCCAGCCAATTAGGCTGTTTCTAGCTGGCAGTTTGCTGTGAAACAAAAGAATGATGTTAGTGTTTTGTGACGTTCCCTCTACAAATTGCCTTACAACACCCTGTGCAGGGAGGCATAGGCTAGAGAACAAGCAGTACACAGTGTTATGCCTCCTATCAGGGCTTGGACAGCATGTCACTGTTCCAAGTTTGATTTTTCTTCACCTCAAGGGCAAATCTTTCCAGATGCTGCAGAAGTAATACAAATAAAAATATTTAAACAAGAAATTGACAGAAAGTTAATAATTAACTGATGTACTGTCCAAGACAATGCCCCAATCTCTCAGATTCCCTATCATTTCCAAGTACTGAGGCAAAAAGCTTGGTGAGAAAGGGAGACTTTTTCAGGGCTTTCCCCCCATCCCTTGTACGCAACACTTGCTAACAAATGCATTACTGGATGAAGAACTTAGAAGATGAACTGCAGAAAATCACACAGTCTAGCAAATAAATTATTTTTGTTCTCATTTAAATGCTACCCATAAGTCCACTTTGTTATCATAACAGCCAAAAGCACTGAAAGCCTTAGAAGTCAGAAAGTCTCTTGTGTGTCACCATTTGCTGGAAAGCCTTTCAAAATGCAAGAACCTGTTAAGAATTAAGGAATGTAGCTACGACTTGTGAGACAAAGCTACTCCAGACACCACTAAAGATTTAGTTTTATATATTTTCCTGTAAATTATATTACCTCCTATGTTGATAGACTGATTTAGAATCAGTTATTCCTTTACAGCTTCCTGTTACTAGGAACTACTCTTGTCATAGTATCCGAACACTGACAGCATGCTAAATGTAATTTGAACTTACCTGTTCATTAAGTTATGTATGTATATTTTTAAGTACTGTAATATTATCAATCTTATGGTTGACACGCTGTCAAGCAGTTTTTTCGTAGTTTTGTAGAATTGTGCACTTTTTGGAGACTTTTATTTAATCCTGAGAATCTAAGCACTTCACTCAATAATGCAAATGCTGTAGTTGGGCACTGTTGTGACACTCCTTTGACCTATCACTTTTTCTACACTGATCACTTTATGTAACAGGCTAGAGTTGTAAGATAATGATAGATATAGCCACTACCTACCACATCTTCCACAACAGGAAAACTAAGGAGGATAATGAGAAGCTGACAAAGCAAAGAGTCTGTGATGTGAAGAGGTAGAACAGACATTACAGTAGCATTCACCAAAATACCATGGCTAGCAAACAAAACAGCTGACCTGTAAGTGTTGAAGGGCTTTTTCACATTACTAGATCAGTTTTATTCAATTATCAAAAATGCATTACTAGACAGACTATATTCAGTGTGCCATGTTTGGGAGTTTAATTCCATGTTGTTCCCCTGGTTCATCTGTCCTGTCATTACTCCCCACAGCCTTCCCCAGTTTATGAAATATGTGGGGAAAGGTCTATTTATAAATTCAAGATATATTTGAATTTGATGGGCTAAGTTTATAATGGGTATTTTCTTGTTTTGAGCAAAATCATAAGCTACTTGATTTGACCTAAGAACCACTGGGTTGAATTCTACAGTTTATGATCTGTAACAAGTCAATCTAATCACATGGACCCATTCCAGTCTTCAAATGTGAAAAGCCGGGAATGGCAAATAAATTACTAGAGCTATACATAATTTTACACGGCAACAGTTGCTGTAAAATTGAAAAGAGAGCAGTAGAACATGAAGAACTGGCTATGAGTATGAGGACAAGACAAGAAACTACCTTTTTATTTTATAGCTATCACTACCATGTTTTTCACTTAAATACAGTACACTTTATTGTTTATTTAAAAGTACAATAACAAAACGCTAAATCACTACTTGTTCTAGAAAACAGATTTTTTTCTTACATTGTTTTCTAATTATCTGACTCAACAGAATAATGCTGTCTTCCTACACATCTGCAAAATATTTCTCATTATTACCTTCTGAAAATACAGCAGATTTGAGTTATCAGCTTGTGAAATATTTATCTTCCATGCTGGAATTTTTGATATTTGATCTGTATTCAAAGGCAATTTTTAAAGCTTTAAGCAAAATCCCTTCAGCCATCTGAGTCTTGAAAGAAGCTTGGAGGTAGGAGAGGGACTTGGGCATTCTGTAAATCTTATCTCAAAATATATATATACACCCACACACACTAACGAGGCAAGGTCACAAAATGAAACAGCATCTTATATTAGACTGACAGAGTATAAAGGCAAAATTCTGAAGTCTCAGATGAAAATTTTCAAGAATAACAGATGCCTAAGTCTGAATAAGGTGCTTTTGGAACTTTTACCTTTTGACCCTTTGTGGTATCAAATGCATTTTCTGTTTTCCTGAAATAAAAGGAGGAAAACTGCTGCTAGCACAATTTACGTGGAAGTGAAAGTGTCTCTGTAGCATACCTATAGCAAAAGCTTTTAAAATCCAATAAGGAGAAAAAGTACTAAGCCCCTAAAATGTTTGCTGCACTCTGAATTTGCTGAAGTTTTAGTTATTCTTATTATAACTCTATATCCAGAAGAAAACTGCAGATGCACAGCTATCTAGATATGCCAGGACTGAGTGGGCTATCCTGCAAAAAGAAAGACACAAATTCTTACTTTGTGATATTCAACTCAGTTGTGTGGAGACACCCAAGCCCTTTATATTGATAACACCAAGAATGAAGGGGAACTTTTCCTGTGACTTAGTTTCAGTGAATAAATCTGAGTACTCTGAATTGTTTCATAATTCCTACATTTGATTAGAGTAAGAGCTACTTCATAATAGATGACACTTTTGAAAAGAATAGTAACAAAGAATCAAAACTTCTAACCATTACTAAATACCAATAGCCAAATTTTTTTTTTAAAAGATGTTCTGGTTTTATCTGGCACGTTAATTTAGTTATAAAATGCACACAGATCCATTCTATTTCAAAGGGGATATCCTCTTACTGTAACAGCACTTTGAGGTGCTTAAAATTGTTACCATGTTATGATCATACCTAAGATTGACAAGCTGGGGATCCGCCTTTTGGCATCGAGAGCAGAAGTAAGTCATCCTGTCATGGTCTCCCAAACGACACACGGTGATGCTGCTGCCGCACTCCCTGCAGGATGGGCGCTTGTACACCTTGTAGTGTCTGTAGAGCGGAGACCCAGTTTTGCGGCACTAAAACAGAATGGATTTAAAATCCAAGTTTAGAGACTCAGGATAAATTTTACGTGAGTCTGAAAATAAAAAACCCTACATAGAATGTCAACTCAATGATTAGATGAAGATATTTAAGAGAGACACTAATAGGGGCTATCCATGTATTTCACATTATATTATGTAAAAAACTGACAAATCAGGTACAACAGTGGCTGTAATTCTCCACATAATTAAATAAAAGAAGAAAAAAAGCATACTAGCAAGGTGCAAGCAAATACATACTAGGAACTCTGAGTTCAGCTGGACCAGCTAGCTCTGATTCAGCACCAATTGTCTTTGACCTGGCACCCACAGGAGTCTTCTTGAAGAGCTAATGAGTTCCAATCAGTGCAGCATAGAAAACAAACAAACCACAAAATAAACACCACCTTCTCTCACCCCAAAAAGAGCCAAAAACACAGCACAGCACCAGCTCAGATGTGATGCTATAAACTGGGTTAATAAGCCTTCCCAAAACCTAAAGAACTGTGCAATGCAGAAGTATTCCCAAGATTCTCTAAATGTTAGGTAGCGCCCCGTAAAGTTGCTCAGTTTCATCTTAGCCCTGGCCATGCCAGACAGCCAGGCTCATGAAAAGCCACTTGGCACAATGGTGAGCTCCCCAGATTCTGGCAGAAAGCCATATTAAATTAAGTACAGTACAAGCCCAAGGGCACAGTGACCTGAAGAGGCTTCACACAGCTGACAGGCAGGCACATTTCATGAGACAGTTCACAAAATATGCATGAAGTCAGCATAGACACACTGCAGCTAAAAGTGGCAAAAAAAATCCAAATGAGAAGAACCCATTAGAGATACAGCCAGCTCTGCAGAGCCACACACGTTTCTGCGTTACAATCACAAATCCTGGAGCACAGTTCAAATGATACCAGAGCTGGCCCAGCAACACCAGCACAGCTCTGGAGAGTTCAACAGCTCAAGCCCCATAATACATGAAGATCCTTGCAGTTATCCCAAAACACGGGTGTCTTTGAGCACAGTGTATTTCCTTCTGCTGTGCCCTTATTCATCAGTCTTGCTGAAAAAGAATTCTTGTGCCATTGCAAACTAGCAATTCAATCAGAAAGAATTACAAATATATATTCGCATGAATATTCACAGCTGCCTCCTCAAGGTTTTCAGCGAGTTCCTCATGAGTAGTTTTTTTCCCATTCAGTTATGCAAAAACCAAACAAAAGCAACAGCTTTTTGCACAAACAAGATTCTTCATGTTTGCATGTGTAATGCTACAGTGTGATGACTGCGAACAATCCATAACAGTCTATAAAAAATTTCAAGCACTATCCCTCATAGTAACATATTTTCATTATGTCTCTTTATGATGGGAGAATAAGCTAGACCTCTTAAAAGTACCTGACTGGTGAATATTTGCAAAGTGTGGACTACAAAAGTTTTCAAATTGGCTAAACAGAATGTTTAATTTGTTTATTATCAATCTAAAAGCCTTTAAATTTCTGAGCCTTGTAATTGTTGCAGAACTAGACGGTGTCTCTTTACTGTCAGACTTCACTATGAAGTTCAGAGAAATGAAAACATTTCCCTAGCCAACAAGCTACAGTACTCTTTAGTGGGTTGAGGGAAAACAGACATTTAGCACACTATTAAACAAATTACAGTTTTAGCCTTTATGATTTTAGGAATGTTAGGTACCCTCTCCTTCACCTACCAAAAAAACCTCTTTTTAGCAGTGCTAGCTCCTTGCCTTTCATAAACATTAAGAGAAGAAGACAAAAATGTCACTACTGCTTTTCATTTCTTTGCATGCAGCTTAAATAAACAAAATACAGAAGAATTAGGTCAAATTCTCTCTTTTTCTATTGCGGAAAGTTAAAGAGCATCAGGAATTATGGAGTTTACACAGGAAGAAATTAAGTCCTACTGAAGTTATAGCAGTAGGGAAAAATGGTTATTTATTTCCCTTTATCAACCAAAACCATTATTTCAGTTTGGAAAAAAAGTTGTTAGAAGTTACAAGCTATTTAGTCAAATAAATTTAATTGCTATTTCAAGTTTTTTAAAGGAAGCCACATCAGCTACCTTTATATTTCCCTGAGACAATCTCTAGTTTCCAGTTTGAAGAGCAACCTTTATGTTACGTAACTTTGTGCTTAGCCCACATGAATTCTGACATGTTCTGCGTGGCATAACAGCACAGAAAAACTGAACTGGCCAGCATCTCAGGCAGCATCTGTGAAAGTCTTTTGTGCCAAACTCTGTATATTTTGACAATCTTGACTACCTCTACTTTTCCATCACCTGACAATTCACAGTTAATAAAGAGCACAAAAACTAACATTCCTATTCACGGAAACACTTGCTTTGTTGCGTCTTTATACTGTTTTCACCAGATCACACACAACTAAGGTGACAGAGTAACATTCTGGAAGTTTTCCAAAATATGTACCAATACCTTATAAAAAAGCAGGGTAAAATCACGTGTCATTTTCACCAAGTGTCGTATATGTTCATCTGTTAGTTGGCAAACCTGTAAGAAAGACAATAATGATTTTTAGAATATTACTGTGCTAAGGAACAATGGCAAAAAAAGACCTATGAGGTAGGAGCATTTTGAACAGTGATGTGGAGTTGCTTTTCTTCGTGCTGTGACAATTCTCTGACTTCATATTATATGTATCATCTCAGTAAAACACGTTCATATTCTATACTACAAAAACTCACTGCTTGCATACCAAACAACATGCTTTGCCTCAGTCAAGCAAAACACATGGTAGAAAATTCAGTTGTCTTCTCCTATACTGACCAAAGAGTTCATAATCACAAGAATCAAAGAGGGAGCAAGTCTCACATGCCTCCTAATTTCCTCATGGATCATAATATGACCTATCATCTGAGGCTCTTTCCTCCTCAGGAAAGTGAAAGACATCACAATTAGAGAGATGCATCAGCCAAATTTATTTTTCTTAAGAACATAAAATTTTAAATCACATTTTTCTGCCATATTGCAGATAAAATTAAAATCTACATTGATCCTGTGAACAATTTTCAAAATACTATGTTTAAAAAACTTTTCAGTTACTAATCTTCCCCAGCTTCCATTTACATTCTATGTAATCTTTGTTTTGCAAATATCATCTTCTCAACTAAAGTTTGGAGATACACGCTTGAGGATCTTAAAACGGAAAAAGTATCATAAACAACGATAGAAAAAACAATTTATGCCAGTTAGCAGGATAAGAACTGGAAGAAGCAGCTGCGAAAAGCATCAATTCTACCACATAAACTATTTTGGATAGTAAATGGAAAAAAAAAATCTGAGCACTTTCCACTTGCCCTTATTTATGGACTGTCAGCTTAATGGTAGCATAACAGGATGCCCAACACACAATATGGATGTTAATCAGCTCCAAGGAGTGCCATGACAAAAACTCTCCAGTTATAATGATAAAACATTAATTTAGTGTCTAAGAATAACTTAAATTATAGATGTTAAAACAAATGTAAGAAGGTAGAAAAATTTTAAATAAATATGTATTTAAATTCTTAATATTTTGGTGTCCTTAAAAACCATCTTGGGACATTCACCCACCTTAAGAGCTGGATGAAGACCACTATCAAACAGTGCTTCGTTTTTTATGATATTTCCCACTCCAGGTAATACTGCTTGATCCAGTAACACATCACACAACATACGAGTGTTCTGCTGCTTAATCTCACGTTCTGCTCTCGAGAAGCTAAACTTTGGAGAACAGACATCCAAACTTTCCATCATCCTCACTTTCTGCTCACACTCAGCTGCATTTCTGGAAGAGAAAAATACACTGATTTTTATTTGAAATATATTCGAATATAGCAGTGTGGTTTTAAAAACAACATATTATAATAGAACATTATATGTAGATAATAGAAACCATGCAAATACCAGTGACAGGAAGTGGCACAGAAATTCCATTAAACACCTCTTCCAAAAAGAGGCCAATGATACACACATGGAACGTGCATCTAGTCCAACGTACAAGAAATCATCTCATTTTGTTCCCATTAGCTTGAAAAATACTTGCCAGCTCCTTGCTTTAAAACTACTTCCAAGATGGAAAGCCCATGTGTTTGGACCCTCAAACATACCTAACTCTATGGTTACATAGTCCACTAGTTACAACATGTTACATATATACAACATATATGTGTGTGTGTATATATATATTATATATATATATATATATATATATATATATATATATATATATATATAAAATAAATGTAAAATATATTTATATATTTCAAACAATTACAGAATATTCAGAGTTGGAAGGATTCCACAAGGATCATGAAGTCTAGCTCTTAAGTGAATGGCCCAAATGGGGATCAAACCCACAACCCTGGCATTATTAGCACCACACTCTAACCAAGTGACCTAATTATAACTATGTAATAGATATTTGTAGTAGTAGATTATTCACAGTAGTTACAAAATTTAAAAATATATGTATTCATATTTTAGATATATATTATTAGGACAAGCATAATCATTTGAAAATAATACAGTACAAGAAGCCTTGGCTTACATGAGATTTTGTGTTCTGTAATTTTAAGTATGCTTATATATGTTACATGAATTTACATTCCCATTTCCACTCAAGAGCCTCACTTTAAAATCAAGCTCACTGGCGTTTTTTTAGCAGAGTGAAGTACAGTGCTAATGGGCATAAACATCTGCTTAATGTAAATTAGAACAATTATAAAAATTTGCTTCCAAAAAGGAAAAAAATAAAAATCCAACCTTGGGAGCATAAAAATTCAAAACCAGTAATCATAAAATCGTGACAGGTTGTTTCTAACCCTTGTTAAGAAACGAGACTTGGATAGAAATTAACAGAGCAACGGGTTTCAGCATACAGGTCTAAGGACAGAATTAAATCCAACTTTCATTCCCAGTCTTGATACTACCTAATGACACTATGGCTATAGCTACTATATACTATAGTTTGTATATACAGAATTATATATATATATATATATATATATATAACTACTATAACTACTTTAACTGTATGTAAGCTCTGATACAAAAGCAACAAACTTAAATTACCACACCAATAAATATACATTTAGAAAGTTTTGTCGTCATAGAATCCAAGTACTTAACAATTTGTACATGATTTTTCATTTACCTTAAAAGAATGTTATAAAAAGAAATAAACTGTTTAATCAGTTTCTGCTTTACCTATACTCTACTGTCGCATCCCAAAAACAAACAGTCTCCTCCATAAACTGTATCTCCAAAATTGGTTGTGCTCCATTTCTGTCTTTGCTTCCATCAGGATTAATGTGCATGGAACCATTCATACCAAAGTGAATCCTTGGAAAGAAAGAGAGTTTTTACAGGTATTTTAACTTCACTATGGTTTCCAAGCATTACATCAGTCTATTTTCAGAATTGTGAACTTTACCTAACCAAGTCAGTATATATGTACATTAATTCTAGTCATTACCAGTAACACAGCAACAAACTTAGCTTACAGAATGCTCAACTCCCAGAGAAGAACGAATGCTCCCCAAATAAAAATCCCTCCAAAACATAGCTGTTTTCGACTAGTCTTCATAATTCATTATACAGAAGTCAAACCTGATCATTAAATAGCACCATATTCTGGTGCACTTAGAATTTTTTTTTACTCGACACGCTGATCTTCCAACACAAATTCTTAAGCCTTCAGGGAGGCTGAAAGAAATGAGGCCACTTGACCAGAAAATTTTCTGTTAAATCAGGCAGAAGTCATGTGGTATGAAAATAAAGAATTTAGTCCCCATATTGCCACCACTGTTATCACATTGCAGCTATGTCCAGTAACACCATAAACAAAGTAATTAGTATTTGCCATATGTTGTTTTCTGCTTTTCTTTGCCCACAACCAAGGCAAAACCTGCAAGTCAATTAAAAATTAATAAAAGAAATAAACTGTAAAATGAACAGATGGCAAAGTAGAAGAACAGACCCTTTCAAGCTTTCATTTTACAGATCAGCAATGCTTTAAGAGGTCTTAAGTTTTATAAAATATTCTACCAGGAGCTATGCTTGAGCAAAGGACAACTCTCATTATTATCTCATATATTTTATTTATTACAAATTCATCTGGTACAATAAAGTCCTAAAAACCATAAGATAGAGGGAATGTCCTATTACTATACACTGTGAATCAGAAAAAGTGGATTATTTTGTAGTTACAAGAAGATTTAACAGATTAAACTATATAAATGACCAAAGAAACACAATATCAGGTCTCTATTTCCTTTAAACCCTTTCTTACATTTCAGGAAAGACAGGCATTTTAAATATTTACAGATGGGCTAAGACAACATGTCATTAAGCCTATTCTTAAAGTTAATTCTTTAAAACATGAAAAAGATTAATGCTATGAGTTACTTAAAAACTTGTGTCTTTCCAAAATTCTTATACAAGTCATTTCAGGTGATACAGTTGTTTCAATCACTTATTCAATAGCCATTTTCAATTCTCAAGTGCCATAAGTAGTACTGCACAGGCTTAACTAGCCAAACTGATTTTTATATGTAGACAAATTTCTTCTTAAACCAAACTCTTCCATCTTGCTAACAAAGGATGATGCACTAAATGCTTCCAGAAAATTATTTTTCATTCCATGTAATAGCTGATGGTTTCATTTGCCAAGCTCCAGTATATTGTTTAACAGGAACTTTAAGAATTAGCTATCCTAGTGCCTTCTTAATTCATGACTAGAAAAAAAAAATTGAATCATCACTATACATTTACATTCAAAAGCATTAAGAAATTTATAAAACTTTAAATTCTAAAGTGCATCATTACCTTTGATGACCTGGAACAGGGCAAAATAGAAATCTTCTTCTTAATTACAAATAGAAACGGCTTGTGAATTAAACCTAGGATCTATAATTCAATGACAACTAGTAGTAAGGAGTTGATGATTTCTTTTCTCAAAGTAAAAAGGCAAGACTTTAGAATTATTTAGTGCTACACAATATTGCAGGGATCTGAATGCACTGCATGTACTGTAACTGTTTTGTCTCCAGAAAATGAAACTTCCTGTTTCAAACAAAGCATGTCAATAAATAACTGTCCTTTTCAGATACCTTTACATGGAATCTTGGACTAAAGCAGTAAATTATCTGAACATGTGACTATATCCAGTATTCCTGTACTGCAGAAAGGCTGATGAGAAGTTTCTCTGTAACACTTTCAAATCCCTGAAAGTGCCATTAGCAAGAACAAGATGACCCCCCCAAAAACAATCAATTTGAATAGACAAGAAGCATTTTTCTCACTTACCTCAAAGCTTTCTGATCAAAATACATAAAAAGTTCTTTTCCCAATGTCTCCACACCCCTGTAAACATGTCCAACAAGGAAATCATGACCAGAGATTCTCTCTTTACTTGCAGCAGTCTGAAAAAGGAGCACACACACACACACAAAGATTAAAGAGAATTTATACTGCTTAGATTCTAGCACCAATTCAGCAAGCAGCTGTATGAAATAATTTTCCAACTTGGACAATATTAACTATTTTCTCCTTAAGCATTCTAACCAAAAAACAATGGGACTATTAACCCAGGAAGCAGTCACTATTGCTAATGCTATCATAACTTAGCTCATTTTTTTTCCTAATTGAAACAATACATCTTTTTTATCAGGGAATTTTATGACTTTTCCTTTGAGTCATGAATTTATAAAAAGGGTTTCAGACTGGTGTAAAATAAACAGGTAGTTTGAATACTGAAAACATGTTAGTGTTATTTCTGCCATTTGCAAATCTATATCTTTCTTCAAACGTTAATAATAGGCTTTCAGTATTTTGCATAGTGCATTGTGTATTATAGAAAAGCCTCCACTGAGCCCACAGAGATCTCTCTCTTCCTACTAGTTCAAAGTCTAATTTCAGAAGCAGGTGAGCAGCAGGTGGGACACTACTAGAGGACAAGATAAATGTGAGATCGAAGCAGTCATATTTTCTTGCTTAGCACATGAAAATACATTGAAGTTATAAGGGATGTCTGCAGGCTATCTGGTCCAAACACCTGGTCAAAGCAGAACACACTTATGACAGGGAGCCCAGGGCTCCAGTCAAATTCAGGGCAGCTCCAGGGATAGACACTCCAGTCTCCTTGGGCCCTTGTTCCATGGCTTGACTATTGTTGCAGTGGAAATGTTTTCCTAACCCCTAAAAAGAATTTCTCCTGTTGTCACCTGCATCTGTTGCTTCTCACCCACTCTGCACATCAAACAGGGGCCTGGCTCTGTTTCCTCCATATCCTCCTAATAAAAGGTAACTGACGAGAGCAATAAAACCCAGTTCTATCAGCTTCTCCTTGCACACCATGTGCTTCACCCTGCTAATCATACCAGAGAACTCACTCTAGTATATTATTATTGTCTTATTACTGGGGAGGTGGAAACTCAGGTGCAGCCCTGCAAGTGCTGATCAGAGGTAAAAATCACTCTCCTCAACCTGCAGAGCCCAGCATGGGGCTGGTCCTTCCTTGGAACAGCAGGCTTCCAAGTGACATAGACTGAGGTTTTACAGGACCCTAGGTCCTTTTTTGACAGAGCCATTTCCCATCTGAGCAGCAGCCAGGACTGTGCTGTTCCATGACACTCTTCTGTTCCAAGTGCAGGATTCTGCAAGTCTTGCAAATGCTGAATTTGAGTTTCTACCAGCCCATTTTTCTCAGCCCGTGAAGGTCTCCCTGACTTGCACCCCAAGGTCCCTTCAGACCCTGCTGAAACCTGCGAGCAGCAGATTCAGTGTTATCATAGCCCTGACTGCAAGGCAGATACACATATCAGTGCTTCAATCGCAGCACTCAAGTTCTACACAAATATGTATGAAAGCAACTCTGGCAAATCAGCCAGGCTTCTGCTAGTTAGTGACATTTCAGAGCTACTCTTTATGCAGTCTCCCACTGTATTATTACCTTGAAATTATACACATTTAGAGAGTTTTATGGTTATTATTCTGTCAAGTAGGAAAATAAAAATATTTCTTGCATAACATCACTTAACTTGTCTGTTATCAAAATATGAAGATAGCAAAATTTTGTTCCCATGTAAACAGTTCATGCTTTCCAATCGAAGTATTGGAGTCAGCTGCCGTGCAACAAAGTTTATTTTAACTTTAAGCCACTCAGATTTGTTTAAAATAAACCAGAATAAGAAATGACTGAGAGGGAAAACTAACTTGTCTTTTCAAATATTTGAAGTTAAATACCTACCTCTTTGGTATCAGGCAAACCCTTACAGTCATCATAGTACAAACTCTCCTAAACTGTAATCTTCAGCAGTGGCCAAGGCTTTGGCCATGGTTAGCAGCCCCTGTGAAATCCTTAGGTTGGTCATTTTCCAATTAATAGATGCCCTGAGGTGACTTTTACTGCATAAAGTGATGAAAACAAATCGATTTGAGGGAGTGAGATTTTTTTTTGAAACCTTAGGACTTCCTTACAAAAATCTGTCCTGAAAGATATTAACCTATAAAGACTAATCTTAAAACATCTCTTAGACAGATGTATTTTCAACCACATTCTTTCCTAAACAGTTTCATTGAAGTACTATCTTACTGTGCCTTAATCACTAACTCCTACACTGCTTTATACACACTGAAAGTGGGTAAAAATTCCTCAAGTTTCTGCCTGGAGACATCCAATATATTTACTTGGGACACAAGCAACACACAGTCTCTTTAAAGATGAGCAAAACAAGGCATGGAAAAAAAGATAGCTTAGCTAGCTCTGTAATCAAAACCAGAGGACAGTACCTAGACACTTATCAGCTAAGGACTGCTGACTGACACCCTGATTTCTCCTTCTGCTACAAGGTCTCATGAGTCCCAGCAGCTTTATACTAGTGAACTATTTCAGGCTGTCAATGAAAGGATAAAAACTAGTAGGGAAATTACATACTGCGTACACTGAAAGCAAATATCACACTCTTTATTTAAATATTTGGTCTAATTAAAATTGCTTAAAAAATAATTATAGAAGTAAAATTCCCCTATCTGCAGGTTAATGTGTACCTTTGTTATGTTTCACATAGATTAGAATCATAGCCTGGTATGGTTTGGAAGGGACCTTAAAGAGCATCTAGGACATGCCTAGACTAAGGAGGTTATGAATAAGTAAGATTAGCAATAATTTCCCTTATCTTTAGCGTCACCTCAACCAACATTGTATTTTGAAATTTATCCTAAGCGACCACGAGCGATTTTAAAAGCTTTCCTTCATTACTCCTCAAAGCTCCTGTTTCTACAGCTTCAGCATCAGCTTTACACACATGACCTGCCGAGACCTATTACGCTGCTGACAAGAGTATTTCACAACTTAAAAGAAGAATAAAGTCAGTATTCGCGGACGGAACCCACCACCATCCACAACGACGGCAGAGGCGGCATAGCAGACAACAACCCAAGCCCCGTGCCCTGGCGCCCCAGCGACTCCTGCCCGCTCGCTTGCTTTCACTCTCACCGGGCGGCATTTACCACAGGGGACACCCACGAGCAGAAGCGCTGGGCCCGCGCTGCCCGAGGCGGCTGTCCCGCCCTGTCCCGGTAGCCGGGCCGGGCCGCGCCCCTCCCCGCCCTGTCCCCGTGTCCTCACCGCCCCTCTCCCCGCCGTGTCCCTATCCCTCTGCCCTCATCGCCCCTCTCCCCTCCGTGTCCCTGTGCCCTCATCGCCCCTCTCCCCTCCGTGTCCCTGTCCCCGTGCCCTCACCGCCCCTCTCCTCGCCGTGTCCCCGTGCCCTCACCGCCCCTCTCCCCGCCGTGTCCCTGTGCCCGTGCCCTCATCGCCCCCTCTCCGCCGTGTCCCTGTGCCCGTGCCCTCATCGCCCCCTCTCCGCCGTGTCCCTGTGCCCATGCCCGTGCCCTCACCGCTCCGCCCCGCACGGCCCTCACGCGCTGTCCCGGCCGCAGGCGCGCTCGCAGGCGCTCGGCGCAGAGCGCGCAGCCCGGGCCCTCCACCATGGCCGCCAGCGCCGCCGCCGCCGCCCGCCCTTCGAATCTCCCGCTCGCCTGAGGGCGGTGCGGCCGCCCCAGCACCGCCCCGGCGTTTCCTGTTTATTTCCTTCTGAACGGCGGCTTGTACTGCCGCTAACTTCCTCCTGGTAGTTCGCTGGTGTGATCTAAAACACATGGAAGTGCATCTTCTTTCAAGACTTAATCCACAATCAGAAATTAATTTCAGCTTCTAAGAAGTTGGTATTTAAATAGGTTTCTGCAGTCAGACCAGCTTTGCAGAAGTAAAATGCTCCTTTACAGGCCATATTTGAAGTACGAACAGGCGTAATAAACTCTACGAGCTCTAACAAAATTGAGAGAATCTGCATTGCGAGGTAGAACATTGGACCCGTTTCCCAATGCCCAGCTTGTGAGGCAATAATCACACTGGTTAAAAAGTCTCAATGTTGTTTCTTATATACAGAGCCTATATCCACACTTCTATCTGGATTCAATCAAAATGTGTTTTTCCTTTTTTTTTTTTTTTTTTTTTTGTTACGTGAAGGGAAGTGGATAAATCAGGCTAAATGATGTTTGTTGGAACAAAATTAACGTTTTCTGCTGAAGCTAGGGTGTGCTACTCTTGTAAATGCCTTTTTTCCTTTTTCTCAGTGGTGTTTTTGCTGTGATCTAATATCAAGACAATAAGGCAATTTTTAGTCAGATAATTAAGCTCACAAGTCAGAAATTGGCAATGTTAGAAAATGGCATGTGAAAATGATTTTTCTACTGCGCTAGAATTCTGCCTTACTGTTCTTTCAAGCAGTTAGAAATTGATACATAACTCAGGTTTCTGTATTAATAT